TTTAGAAACATTGTGTAGAATATTGCAAGAGTGTGGGAAGGGTATCAATTTACCTAATATACTAAAAACACTACTTGTACTGTACTACTATTCCTACTTTGTGGTTTTTCACTTATCGCGGGGCTTCAGGGTACGGATCACCCGTGATAAACGAGGGACTACTGTACTGTACATGATGAGATGATGAACGGCAACAACCACAAGACAATAAACTAATGAATTAATCTGCCTCTACATTTTGCAGCAGCTGCTTCTGCTCTTGGGACTGTAGGAATGTTGTGAAGCAGATGTGTCCTTCATAAAGCAGTTAGGTCCATCTCTTTACAGTTCACTACCTGCAGGGTTCAACTAGAATCTAATATAACATAGGATATATGACCACGCTCTGCCTCTTTGATTATGTCTCCGTCTCGCTGTCCCAAACCACGACAGCCTCACTCAACATAAATCTGGCTATATTTCTGCCGTGCACAAGATTCAGGCTAAAAATATCCAGGAATTTTGTTTTAACAGCTTAAAAAACTGCTTGTTTTTAAAGTGTGGCATTCAAGGTGAAATGCCAAAGCAAGGGATGAACAGAAAAGAAAGACAGATAAAACGATTATTTCATGACTATGCAAGCAATCCATCTTTTTAATAATTAATTAACTTATTGCTCAAGTACAGGTTAAAATGACCTCAGAAAAGAAGCCGATTGAACGACACGGAGCAAAAATGTTACTTGACGAACTCTTTCATCCAGCAGTGTAACAGTACAGAGCATCAGAGGCATGATTCATCCTTTATTGTCGGTGAAATAAAAACACAGACCTGGGAGAAACTTGAGAACCTTCAGCATCTCCCTCTCCTGACTGAAGTCCACCATCAGGTGACTCATGTTGTCGCTGGCTTTTGCCTTCAGGGAGAGGCGAAAGGCCGGGGCCATTGTCACACTGCAGACAACGAGACACATAGAAAACAGAAAAAATGGGGAGGTGGGAAAAAAAAAAGTGTTCATTTTGCAAAACCAAAGTAGAAATAAAAAAGTCACTAAATAAATTTCTGTTACTACCCATAAACTCATCAGCACTTAAAAAGTGAAGCTAAAGAGAGAGCAGCATTCATCCAGGGGGGGACTGACACAAGATGGTACAGACCGGAGGAGACAGAGGGAAACAAAAGGTCCAACAAGAGGAAGTTTCCACAGTGTTTACTGTCTAAGCTGTGGGTGTGGTGGCTACATGTCTGAACGCATGCAACGCTACATGATGGGATGGCTCTGGCTACAGGAGGCTGAGACAAAAAGGGAAGCAATGGACGACTGAGTACTATACCTATCCTTAATGTCTTTGGCCGCCTGGAGAGGAGAAGCGGAGAGGTGGAGAAAAGAAAAAAAAGAGATACAGAGCGAAGACAAAACTGAGTCCATCATGTCGTCATGTAACACAAAACGCTGCTGCGTGTGACAGTTACTGCCAACAGAAGTAATTAGTATGTTAAGACACTGAAATTCAACAGTAAAAACTCGAAGCAGAGGAAACAGTGCGGCAGCCGTTCAGCAGAGCAGATGTGTCAGTCACCTGAGTGAAACCGTCCGTCCCAGAGGAGCAGAGCGTCTGATTGGCCAGCTCCAGCAGCTCCTCCGAACTCTCTAGGGCTTTGGAGCAAGCACTCAGCTGACTCTGAGGAAAACACACACTTATCATGCAAAGCAGATCTTCAAACACGTCTTGTGTTGAGTGCTGCATCATGCGAGTCATGTTTGGGTCCCGACACTGAAGAAACCGGTAAACAAGGGTCTGCAACCTATGGCTCTGGGGACACATGTGGCTCTTTGGTCCCTCTGCAGCAGCTCATTCAAGCTTTGACCAAAACTAACACGAAACTGAATTTTATTTAAATTATTGCCAACAATGAAAATGGCTAGTTTCAGCAGATTTCCTATTTTCAAACATGTGAAGAATAGCACAAATACAAGGTGTAAAACATGTGGATTACATCATGCTAGTAGTTTGTTAGCCACTTTAAGTCGACTTCCAGTCTCAGCGTGACGTTTCTCTCAAAACCACCAGAATGTTTTGGAATATCTTTAAAGAGAAGCTGCTGAGAGGGAATATTTGAAGAAACTAAAAATAAAAACACAAAAAACTAAGTCAAAGTAAACAAAAGTATATATATATATTTTAATGGAACTGGATATCCAACAAACTGGCCTAATTTTATACTGTTTTAACTTTATGCTTTAACTGGATACTTAATTCTTCAACAATTAACAGAACTAACATCGGCCTGCAGAGTTCAACGTTCTAATTTTATTAAATAGTTAAAAAATTTATATTTTTTTCTTTTTTTTACATGAATCTGGCCTTTTCTTTTGTATTAAAATGTAAAAATATCAATAAATGTTAATAATAGACATTTTTTGTTTTATAATATCACCCCCACTGGCTGGAAAAGCCACGTCCAACAAACTTGTAGTGGCCCACGAGCCACCAGTTGACAGTGCACAGTTGTCGCAGGTTTTGCGGCCCCGGACGCATCATAATTAGTAATCAAAGTGACAAAAATGACTCTTTTTATCGCAGAGGTTGCAGACCCCTGCTCTAAGCTAATACTTTTAAAGAAGCAGCAGCGAGGTTCAAACACAGTTGAAGAGAAAGTGGATATAAAGTTTATCGTCTCATAAATAAGCCGTTACAATTAAATGATCTGTTTTAAATTGTTGGCGTGAGCACCTTTGATTCCCACCTTTACCTGGAAACCATTCAAAGAAAATCGACTTTTCTTGTGATTTGACTGAAAGAACAGCTTTGGGGTTTTGCAATAAGACCAGTCATTAAGGTCACCAGATGCTCAACTACATTTAGTTAAAGATGGAAAATTAAAAATAACTAAAAAAAACAAGGTGAATAAAAGGAAAGGGATAAGAGACTGTTGTAATAGTTTAAATAGTTCGATAGAGCTGTTTTTCTAGAGAAAATGCAAAACGATCAGCTCATTTAGCCTACCTCCAATAGACCTACACATAAATAATCTGTTTACTGCGGGGTTTTTTTTAATTTTACAGACAAACATGGTCTGTTTAGTCCCATGTGTTGCATAAAACCATTTTTTCTTGTGCAGTAAACATGCTTCAGAATTGAGCATGAATCAAACCAAAGCAGCAGCTACCTGCAGCTCATACGTGCGGCTGGCTCTCTCCTGCTTGATGCGAGTCACCATGTTTTCCTTCATCTCATCCAGAACAGCGTGGAGGGAGTTGAACTCTGACTCCATGTCCTCCTGCACGCGGTTTGAGTTCGCCTGGCGTTAAAACGAGAATAATGTGAACTTTGAGGAACACAGCGACAGACCGTGTGCATCTTATAAACTAAACCTTCGTCCTGTATGTTCAAGTTCAAATAAGTTTATTGTCATTCGCATCACATGTGGTACATGAGGTGGAACAAAATTATGTACACAGGGTCCCAGTTCCAACAATAGCAAAACTATAAAGTGTAAAAAGAAACAGGATGTAAGATATACGCTAAGCACTAATGTAAAACAATACGGCGTAACTGCAGCATGAACACGAGTCTGTGCGAGCAGATGGGTACAAATGAATACAGCAGCATGAAATAATCAGCAGCAGGCGATCAGCAGCAGATATCACCAATCAAAGTGGCATTACAGTAATTATTTTTTTTCACAGTGATTATCCAGGTTAGGGTATGTGTTCCTGTACCTCCAGGTTCTCCAGGTTCTGTTTGAGGGTGGAGACCAAGTTTGAAATCTCCTCATTCTTCAAGGCCAGAGTGTGGGTGATCTTACGCAGGGACTCCTGAAGGAAAGACAGATTAAACCAGTGTGCAAAATAATGAGCCACTGTAACCAGTCAGCTCCCTGCAGAGCATGTTTTGGTTCTAGTCGTGCACAGGTTCAGGCTCTGTGTGATAAATATTTATTCCCCCGATGGGTTCAGAGAGGGTGGACACTTCAGGAGCATTAGCATGTGCATCAATAATCTAATAATCCGCCTCCTCGTGTTTACTTCAAAGGACTGAACTTGTTGTCCTCCTCTGAGTGGCTCCACTCCTCTCTGACCTCCCTCGCTGAATAAAGGAGCCCATTCATTAATATGGACGGTGTAATGTTTGGTGGTGGCAGAGATGCGCCTAGGCGTCCGTCTGTCCGTCACTGCTACACCAATACACCCTCGACAATCGTCGCCTCCAGCCGGACATTTAACAAGATTTGAACAAATACGACGGTGAACCGCCGGCTCGTGCCGCCGACTCCTTTCTTTGTACGCTACGCCCTGATACGTCTCCGCCCCATCACAGACACCTGTTCCTCCCGTCCCAGCCCACCTTCTGGTCTCCCATCGTCCCGTCCAGGTGCACCGGCGCCGGCACGGCCTCAGACACCGCCCGTCGTCCTGTTTCTCCCCCCGGGTTGGTGGTTAACAGCACCGCGGAGATGGTACTGATGCTACCAGAGTGTAGCGCATCTTCAGACGGACACCAACGCTTTTTGGGCCGTAGCCTCCACAGCGCATGCGCGAAAAAAGGATTATGGGTAGTGATGTGCAGTCAAGAGAGAGCTGGAGAACCAGGAACACTTTGAGTGACACGAGTTATGAGGATTCAATTGATTTGACAATATTGTTGCACTGATTTTGATAGTGTTCTCTGATTGTTATTAACAAAAAATAAATTCAACAATTATAATTAGGCTACTCCCAAAGACCACGCTCTTTAGGCCACATGTGTCAATCAATCAACCTTTATTTATACAGGTAAATCCCATTGAGCCTCGAGGACTCATTTACAAGAGAGACCTGATTTCAACAAAGAAAGATGACAACAATGGACAACAGCAACAACAATAAGCAGTTATAAAAAGTCATACTACAGTTTTTTTGGGTTTTTTTTTTTGTTTTTTTTTTAACAAATAGGATGGCTAAAAGGAAAAAGGTAACAAAACAAAAAAACAGCTAGATTCCAAGACAAATGTATAAAACTAAAAACAGGAACATGTCTGCATTGGACCCCGCCAGGAGTCCAACAGATTCTTAAAGCCACTTAGAGAGGTCAAGGTCGAGAGCTTCAAATCTTTTTGTAAGATATTCCAGGAAACAGGAGCGGAGTAGGAGAAGGCCCTTTTTGCCTAGTTCAGTCCTCACTGAGGGAACACTGCAGGTAATAATGTCCTGAGAGCGCACTCCGTAGCTGCACTCACGCAGAGACATGTAGGAGGAGATGTATGAAGGCAGCAGACCAAGGAGTGATTTAAAGATGAAAATGTACCAGTGAGAGAGTCTGCGTGAAGTTAATGATGTCCAGTTAACCAATGAATACAGGGTGCAGTGGTGGGTACGATAATCACAGCTAGTTATGAATCTTAGTGCACCATGATAGACAGCATCCAACATCTGCAGGGTTCTTGTAGGAGCGTTCATGTAAATAATATCACCAAAATAAATTGAGGGAAGGAAAGTCACAGATACAAGGCGTTTCCTAGCATTCAGGGTTAGACAGGATTTGTTTCTGAAAAAGAAACCCAGTTTAACTTTCAGTTTCTTTACCAAGTTTTCCACATGGAGCTTAAAAGAGAGATGTGAGTCGACCAAGATACCCAAATATTTATAGGAATCAACAAACTCAATGGGGACACCATTTGAGGATAAAATCGGAGGAAGAACTGCTGGGACCAACTTCCTATTTGAAAAAAGCATCCCTTTGGTTTTTTCGGCATTTAGGACAAGTTTGAGGCGGAACAAATCAGTCTGGATGATGTTGAATGCAGATTTCAAAAACTGGAAAGCCTTAGCAACTGTTTTAGCTCGACAATAAACAACTGTGTCGTCAGCATAGAAATGTATGGATGCATTAGGGATGTTTTTACCTACATTATGTATGTAGATTTTAAAGAGGGTGGGTCCTAAGACTGAGCCTTGTGGTACACCATTGTTGAATGTTAAATAACTGGAGGAAGTACCATTATGTTGAACACATTGCCTCCGGTCTGAAAGATAGTTAGAGAACCAACCAATGGTGTGATCTGAGAAACCAATTTCTGAGAGTTTATGACACAAGATGTTATGATCCACAGTGTCAAAAGCTTTAGACAGGTCTAAGAAAAGTGCAGCAAAATAATCTTTAGCATCCAGTGCTTCAACAACATCATTAAGAACCTTCAGTGAAGCAGTGGTTGTGCTGTGTTGTTTCCTGAAACCAGATTGATGTGGAGGTAAGATGTTAAATGAGTCCAGGTAATTTTTGATTTGAGAGTTTATCAGTTTTTCTAGAACCTTGGCTAAAATGCAGAGTTTAGAGATTGGTCGATAGTTGTTCAGTGAGGTGGGGTCACCTCCCTTCAGCAAAGGAAGAACAAAGGCTGTTTTCCAAGTGTCTGGGATGGAATCAAGGCCTGAGGGCCAAATATGGCCCTTGTAAACATCTCATCTGGCCTTCAAGATGTTTTAAATGTGAGCTATTTTTTTTATCACTTCCAATTTTGCTTTACAAACTGAGCATATTTTATTTAATGCAGACCTCTTATGACACTTAACTTTGAAGTCCCCCAAATTGTTTTTTTTCAGTAATCTTTGATCTGAATGTGAAAAGATCAAATTAGATTCAGCAAATTCCTTGTTGAGGAAAAAGTTGTCTGGTTTCTGACTGGGGTTAATGCATTGACTGAAACTGACCTTTTGTTTGAACCAAGTTTTTAATTTTGGCCCCTTTTATGTTACATAGTTTGACACCCCTGCTGGTTTATACATTCATGCTGTACTTGTTAAAATGATGAAAAATAACATGTATTCAGAAAAAAAAAAAAAAGTGTGTTTTAAAACAATTTGTCTCAGAGCAAATCACCAAAATTGAAATGGTTGTTGCACCTATTTGTATTATTTAAAACTAATGTTAATTTGTTCATAAAATCTAAATACTTTTGACTTTGTATTTTTTTTTTTAGTTTTTTAATCTCCCCTTTAAATAATTCATGACCCCAAATGTTTTTATTGAGACAAGGCACTGGAGAAGCTATTTTTATTCACTACTTTGTCCTTAAAAAAGCTAAAAAATAAATAAATAAAAATCTACCCAGTTGAATGTGCCTGTAAAATATTTATGTTGTTGCAAAGATATTTGCAGTGCACAGACATTCATGTTTGTGTAATTTCACTCACATGTTTATGACATAAACTTTTCCAAAGTAAAGAACAAATCACATATTTCATTAAAGTTTAAAACTTTTTCAGTGTCCATCTTTAAAACTAAACATTTCAGGCTAAATGCTGGTGAAGATTCTCAGTCATCCAGGACATGATGAATTCAAAAAGCGTTCAATACAAAAACAACTGGACTTTATTTGTAACAGAAGACGTTTCGCTCCTCATCCGAGGAGCTTTCTCAATTCAAAGAGCAGAGAGTGAGAGATACCTTATGAGATGGCCTTATAACCTGTATCTCTCACTCTCTGCTCTTTGAATTGAGAAAGCTCCTCGGATGAGGAGCGAAACGTCTTCTGTTACAAATAAAGTCCAGTTGTTTTTGTATTGAACGCTTTTTGATTTCAGGCTAAAGAAAAAAAAAGAACATTAAATTAACTGCATGGCATTTTGAAGAAAAGTTTCAAAACTTTTTTTTTCTGGACTCTTTTCTGGAAAGGCGGTGCGGAGCTACTTCTCTTTTTAAAATGCTTAGTGATGCTTTATTGACAAAAAGCCAGGCAACACATTAACCAGGTTTTAGTTTTCACTTCTTTAAAAACTGGTGTGATTTTTTATTGTTTTCCAGAAACAACAACCAATCCAACCAAACCATGGGCTTCTAATTTTTATCAGGTGTTGGCTCTGGCAAAGTGAAAGTTTTGTGCTGAAAAGCAGAAAATAATATTTTTTATCACATATTTTGTTTGACTCTGCAGATTTCAGACAGTTTGATCTGTCACCGCTGATTTATTTCATTGCAAAGTTTAGTAATAAATCTCTGATCAGAGGCTCATCTTATACTTCCTGATTTCTGCAACAACTTTGTCTCATCCGGTTTTAGTTGTAAAAAAACTTTCAGACCACTCACAAGATTTTATACAGTTGTATGAGGAGCTGTGACAAATATGGAAACAAACATGCCCCTTTAGTTCAGAACAGATATGAAATGGAGTGGAATCAACTTGTTTTAACCAAATTTCTTCATTTGCAATGAAAGGCAGGTAATAATGTATTTGCCTGTGTCTGTGTGCATTATTCTCGTCTGTCAGCTAAATATATATTTAAAAAATGGCTATAACTCAGTCAGTTTTACAGATGATGAGCTCAAAATGTGGCTTCTTGCAGTGGAGAGTCTCCCACAACCCACACTCTGTATGCAAACAGACCACGTAAAGTTTCTGTTCAAAACTTTGACATGTGAGGCGGCAAGTTTATCAAATAAGCCTTTCATTACAGGTGCGCTCTCTTTTTCTCTAAGTCTGAATCTAGTAAAGATGATGACAGATGTCTGTGTGTGACTGATAAGAAAATGCTCAGGATAATTGTTGCAAAACAAATCAGTTCTGTATCATTTAACAAAACCTTTTGTTCTGTGTATTATTGACAGTGACCGAGTCTTAACCTATGGTAAATACTGTAGCTCTGCTGCTTGTACTACCTCTCAGTTCTTCTTCCACTTCTCTTTTGTTCCTTAGAAACAGCTACCAACGAGTGTGTAGGTTTTGATCAAGCAACCTAATGTTGTTACTCCAAGGAATGCAGGAGTGGGGGAAAAAACGAATCACTTCCAATGAAAAATATATAAAATAGCATAACGGAACAATTTGTGATGCACAAAATGGACACGAGCAATGGGACATAGAAATAATTCAGCGCTACATAAGACAAAAGAACCAAATACTAAAGCTTTCAACAATATTTTGTTACTAGACACACACTGAATCTTGATAATGCCTGTATGGAAGTTATAGGTGTCTAATAAAGCAATGCTTATTGACTCATAACAAAGCAACACGCATACAGGGAGATTCATGCATAACTGACTTCAAAATGGTTTACTGTACACTGCAAATCACAAACTGTATGAACTGTTGCTAGTCATAAAACTGTATTTTTTCAGAGATGTTGAGAGTTTTTTCTACTAAAAGTGTTTTTGGTTTGAGTGATAATACAGTGCAGAATGTGTCATGCTACTTTATGAATGCTGCTGGAGCAACAACACCACCAGCCTGATCAAGAAAGCTCATCAGAGACTCTACTTCCTCAGGCGGCTGAGGCGAGCTGGTCTGGGAAGCTCAGTCCTCACCTCCTTCTACAGGTGTGCAGTGGAGAGCATCCTGTGCTCCAGCATCAACGTGTGGCATGGAGGCTGCACAGCTGCAGAAAGAAAAGCTTTGCAGAGAGTGGTGAAGGCTGCACAGAAGATGTTAGAGTCAGTCTCCCCACCATCACAGACATTCACATCTCCAGATGCAGCAAGAGGGCCACCTGCATCATGAAGGACCTCACTCACCCAGCACACACACTTTTTGCCCCGCTCCCCT